ATATTTTAGCTTCACATAGTTTTTGGAGCTTTCTGAACTACCTCTCTGCGCGGTCAATCGTCTGTCTTTTGCAAAGAGACCGTCTCGAAGCATTTCTTGTCCTCTTTCTTTAAACATTTCAGTCTGGGAGTTATCTGCTCTTTTTACCGCTCCAACTACTGCAGTACATTGGGTAGTCTCATTTGGTGTTCGAAGTCTAGTTTCTAGTCTAGTCGTCTAGTTCTACGTCTAGTAGTCGGAAAAAATTCATTCTGAGAATGAAGTTGGAGTAAATTATTGAAAGGAAACCATGGCCTCTAAAAGCCAAGTAGGATACTGCTTTTGAAAAGATAAGAAGAACACTCGTATTTTTGTGAAGGGCTGTCTGGGGCTACGCAGGTGACCTTTTCGCTAAGAAAATCCACGAATCTAGTCGAATCCACGAATCCAAACCACTGTTATCATTTGTTGGTGCAAGCCGATCTTGGATGATATATACATTATAGTTCAAAGCTGGGAAAGTGCCCGGATCGGAGTATGAGCTTCGTCACGGTTCCACGAAGACTCGTGTAGATCGAGACCCTCGCACCGGACGCATCAGGGTACAACAGCAAAATGTAGGAAGGTATGTGAGTCCCGTATTGTAACTCGTGATGGGTGTGTCAGGCTAACCAGCCGGAATTTCATCGACAAAGTAACCTGTACACCACTGTTTTCAGAAATTTGCTTTCAAGATTTAGATCAATGTTGCAGGGATGTTTCAACAATACTGATGTTAGTTCTGACTGTGTTTTTCGTTCTTTTGGCTGTCGCCTATGTTGGTACTGCGCGGCAGGAGGCAATCAAAGGTGTTGCTCATGCTGTCTCTGGTACATGTTTTCGACATTTTGAGGTGCAATATTCTGAAGAAGTGATATAGCTTTTCCAGGAGCGGTCCGCGACACCGTTATGTTCTTGTATATGTACGCAATAGTGCCTAGTTTCTTTCTGCTGGCAGGTCACACACACGAAATAAAACTAT